ACACAATGTTTCATTAACTTTGAGGGAGGCAGGACTACTCCTAAATATTGAAGAGATCTGTGGAAATAGGAAATAGAAATATGGAGATGGGAAATCTGAAAAATAAAGTTGGAAAAGGAAAGAAAGATCTAAAACTCCTGAAGGGCAGAATAGCAAGTGGAATTGGGAGTCAACGAAGAAGGAGTGGGACTTTAGGAGAAGCGGTAGAGACTATTCTTGGAGACGTTTTCAAGGAGCAGAAGAGCAGGGGAGCAGAAGCAAATAATAAGCAAAAAATAAAAAATAATTAAAAAAAAAGATAAGGAATGACAATATTAGGTGAAAGGAGAATGTGAAGTGGGGAAATTATGTAAAAGGTAAAGTAGGATCCAAGCTTACAGGTAACAGTTGAAATATAAATGTATATGGGGAAAAAGCACAGCAGTGCTCCTTCACCCTGCCGTTGGATTAGGAAATGGAATTAGAAGAGGAGATATTCTGTCAGCTTTTGTCCTCCTCCCAGCTGAAATAGTAGTAGTAAAAACAAAGCAAAAGTAAACTGTGCTGGTTATGGACATTTATATGCCTTATGTGTTTGTTGTGTTTTGTGTACTGGCCAGCACTCCCCAGCAGTCTGGTATGGAGACTGTCCCCAGGGCCTGAGCAGCGACCACTGGGGTCAGCAGGAGGGTCTTTGTCAGGAGGCTTTGCTGTCTCCTTGTTACAGGGAGGCCTGATTAACTTTAGAAGAAAATGAAGCATTAGAGAAACCTTAAAACTTGTGTAGCTATGAAGATCCTCATTGCGGGGGGGTGGGGAAAATTGATTTCCTATATTTATACACAAGAAGAGGTCCAAAGTTACTGAAAAATCTGCGTGTTTCTGCGCAGATTTCTTGCGTGAGTAGTTGTAAAACTTTAGTCTGCAATGCATTTAAGTATGTAAGATACTGTAAATCGCTAAGAAGCTAGCTTTTATTTGTGAAAATTGTGTAAAATACTGCATTTATCCTTTATTTTGTGCATGTGAAACTGTTCTTAGACTTGGAAAATATTTTTCCTGATGAGGTATCACTTTTCATTTGAATTTGAAAATTCACTTTTTTTTTTCCATTTCTAAATGGCTCTGTTTGGACTAAATCCTTGAGGCCATGCTGAGACAAAGGATATTGTGTTAAGAGTCTGTATTCTTATTTGTTAATTATTAACAGTAGTTGAAACTAAAAGAATGAAGTGCGTTAAACTATTTTACAACTAGATTTTCATATCTAACCTGGGTTAGTTGATGGTACAAGTACATTTTACATAAGACCTGTCTGGGCACTTCTTGTTACAGACATGGTTATGATGGGTGGGAATGAATTTGCTAAGCTTTCAGATATCTTATGTGCCTCTGAGGACTGCCCATTAATAATATTAATATATAGGTATTTTCCACTGTTGTATGCAAGGCATTTCTTAGAACTTTGAAGCTAAAGTCTTTTTTAGCACGTGGACCTTTTCAATTTAATCCATTAGCAACTTGGCAAAATAAAGTAATTGTCCAACAGAGGAAGAAAAAAAAATCTATTAACATTTGCTACAAATCCGAGTAGTACAGGCAGCACTTAATTAATGGAACAGATTTCTCACTATGTATTCAAGCTAACATAGCTATTGTTCAGGAGAGATTAGACCCTTAATGTAAGTAAGTTAAACTAGACCTCCATCTAAAAATATCCATCATTTCAGCTATTAAAGGTCTGATGTCTTCTTCGGTGACAGATATATTTCCCTTCATTTCCTTGGTTTTGTAAAATGTAAAGTATGCATTGTGTGTAACGCGAGAAATCCGTGGAGGTAGATGAAACCCCGATTGTGCCTCCCCGCCTGTCTCTCCCTGCCTGCTCCTTTGTGCTGCTCCCTATCACAGAGCCTCTTCAGCCCTTAGACCTCCTGGCACCAGAGCAGAAAAACAGAAAATGCCATTTGTTTGGGTATGATGCCAGCCACCTAATCTGTTTGCAGAATGAGGGCCATGGGATCTGATTAGGTAATTTAGATACCTTGTGAATTTAATAATACCTGAGCTGCCTTTGGCTGTCAGCCCATCGTTTCACTGGTAGGAACTACCATGTTCTTCTATTTCTTCTGTAAACTTCTTACCTGTAGTACCTTATTTTGAGTCCAAATAGGTGTTAAGGGCTGCAGGTGAGGTGTATCTTTACTTCTTCATATAGGGAAGTCAGTGGTTGGGTAGAGGAGGTGAGATTGCGCAGTTTTTAAATACATTTTCCCCAGTACGGTTCCATGTGCAGCATATCCTTTTTTCTTGAAAATGGAGTTTTTCAAACATAAGATTCTTTGTTTAAACACCTCAGATGATGTACCAGGTTTCAGATGTCTTGGGCCATGCAAGTGCTCACTGATGTCACTGGCAGTTTTTGAAACTCGGTTTCTCTGAAGTGGTTATTTCATCCTCACGGCTGGGAGTTCCCTCACTTGCTGCTGCAGCGAGTGTTGCTCCGGGGCGAGAGGCTGACCTGCCCGGGGGCATCGCTGTCCCGCAGGGTTTGCAGCAGCAGCCTAGGTGCCTCCGTTCAGATACCCACAAGGGAAAATTTTGGCTGCAATTTTAATGCCACATCTCCTCCCTTCCTCTCTCCTTTCCGCCAATTAGCATTTTTTGGAAATTAGAGTCTCGCAAAGCCTACTAGCATAAATAGAAGTGTTTTAGGATTTGTTTGCTTTAATTAATTTAAAGTGTGTCTTTCTGAAAGGATTTAGTTAAACATCTTTCTTAAACGGTAATGTGCCAGTAACAGCAACATTAGTAATAGCGATAAGACCCAGAAAGGGAAACCAACTAGAAAGCAAAATGAAATGCCTCTTTGTCCAAAAAATAAATGGTCTTCCCAGGAAAGTGGAGGAAACCCTGTTCAGGGACACTTACAATTAGGTTGGTCAAAACAGTAGAAAACATATAGTATGAAACAAATCCTGCAACGGTAGAGTGGGACTGCATGATGTCACTCTTTTTCCTGTTTTTATTTTGTTTTTCTCTTTTTTTGACTGTTGCTGGTTTTTTTTTTTTCAAGCAGCACCCAAGATGTTCTCGGAGCTTTCCAAATAGGAAATAAGTTGCTTTTCATATAATGATAAATTATTTTTCATAATGAAGATGGAGTATTTGTAAGGCTAATGATATTAATGGGATTTATATGAAAGCATCCAATTAAAAATCAAAACAGCTGCATCAAACATGACTATACAATGTAATAAAACCATATAATATTGTGGTCTGGCCACACCATATTACCTAGTTTGATTAATTGAACCTTACGCATGCAAAGATAGTCATTATCAGACTTCTCAACCATCAAGGAAAAACAGTCTCAATTATTTTCACAGTGAAATAAGCATTGCTCTTTTTTCTATTCTGCCATCTGAAAAGAGAAAACAGCTGCTGCTGTGACTCTGAAATGCAAGATCTTGCAGAACTATACGAAGTTGATTCTGCTTGATGCTGGACTTCTGCAGCCTTAATGTAGACAGTAATTTATTTAGTTATGTAAGAAATGTGTTGCTTTTCTCCTCTTTTATGCTCTTGCGTTTTTTAAAAAAAGCAAGACCCCTCTATCTCCAAAAGTCTCCCTGTGGCTGCGCTGCAGGGCATTAGGGCTGTTTTAAACCTCTGGTTATGAAATGGCAAACGGGCAGTTTCCTGGTTTTGCTTCAACACTTCCTCGTTTCCTCCTTTCCCTGTGCTGTGCGGTGGGGATGCTGCCTGGAACAGTTTGCTACCTGACACAGCAAGATGAGAAGGTGGGCGCTGGTGCCGTGTCCCCCTGCAATCAGCTGTAAGTGCCTCTAGATGCGTCTGTGCTGGAGCAGATCACCTGTGCTTGTAGACCTCCTGTCTCCAGTAAATCATAAGCATCTCAATCTTTTTGTCAGGCTGTGATATGAGAATCCTCATCTGAATTTCAATATGAGGGGAGAGAAGCTGATTAAGTGTTTGAGATAAGGTTATGTGACACCACAGGTTAAAAATACCTGAACTGAGTTTGGCCAAATGCCTGAGAACCACATTGCAGTGTATTCGGGTGGCTGAATAAGCTTCCAAGGAGTCTGCTGTCTTCCGCTTTAAGAAAGCAATTCTTCAGGAGTGTTCTTTTAGGAGCTGCATCTTTCTTGTTTTATAGTGTTTCTTTGGTCTCTGCTATCTTGCATTTCTTATCTAAAATGTCACCAATGTGTCGAGTTAAAAGAAAATATAAAAGTGTAATAAACCCTAGCCATTTAGGAAGAAAAGGACAAATATTTTTGTTTGGTACAAATTGTCTGGAGAAAGACTTAAGTGAGATCCCCAGAATCCTACACAAGTTAATTCTAGTTCCCCTAAAATGTGACAGTTGAAACCCTTAACAAATACTGTGTTTTAGCAAAAAAACAACCAAACAAAACCCCCCAAAAGAACACGAAACTTTATAGTTTGTTAAAACCTAAGCAATGTGCTTCTGGCAGGTCTGGGAAACAGACTAAAGACATTCAAGAACCTTCTGACTCTTAGGACTCTATATAATTTTAGTATTTTACTAGTTGTTTTTCATTCATGACTTATATTTTCATAAATATTCTTAGTGATGAGAAGAAACTTCGGGAGATGTGTGTAAGTAATAGGAAAAGTCTGCTGAGTAAAAGGCTTAGACCAGGCAAGTTGGTCTGGCTTGTTTAAAATTTTGCCTGGATTTAATACTTTAAAAGCTGTAGAAGGATACAGCCAGGATACTGCACTGCAATTTGGGGTATCACTTTTGTGAACTGTGTTTGAAGGCTTCTCTTATTTTTCATGGGAGTTACCATATTCCAGAAGCGTGATGCAGAAATGTGACTTTCCTAATGCATCTGATTTACTTTCTTATTTTATTTGGTTGATTTCAGAAGTAAACTTGCCTATTCATTTTTTCCGGTTATACTGAAATGTGATGTTGAGCGCATTTGTCATGCGTGTTCTTGGGTTTGTTTTTTTTTTTTTTACAGATGGGCTGAAGCCAGATACCAAGATGCTTCTTACTGTTGCCTCCAAGAAGAAATCTAAGGCAGGGAAGGGGGATACAGCCAAAGAGGATGAAAGCAGCAAGAATGATTCAGCCCAACCTGTTACCATCTCTCTTCTCTTTAAAAGATATGTCTTTGACACACAGAAGAAAATGATTCAATCCTGAGAAAGCGAGAGAGGCCTCTGATTGTACCTGAAAGACCAGACTCTGAAATGAATTCAGGTGGAATGTGTTTCTTGTCTGAACGCATTAGACCTGTTCTTTCCTCACAAACAGAGCCTGGAAGCTCCTGCTGACTATGTGCCCCCTTCCAAAATCTCTGCAATCTGGTTTTGTTCTGTTAGAATCTGCTAATTTGGTCATCTTTGCAATGTGAATCTTTACTGCCTCTTGGAGAATGTCACCTGCCAGATGAGCACATTCAGGTGTGCGTTCTAATAGCATTGTTTTTCTGGAGAATTGTTTTGAAGTTTCTCTTCATTTAAAAGTTTGCCACCAATATTAATCTAAATCTAGTCAAGATGTGAATTTCATGCGACCCACAAAGTGAAGCTGATTTAGTCTAGGTTTAATTCCCCGAGCAAAGTGGGGGGACAGAAAGCACATGATTTAATAGGTGAAACCTAAAATGGATGTTTCACATTCCTTCAGCTGCAACTGTGTAAGATGCTATCTGAGAGACGGTATGGATCTTTTTTATAAATATGATTTATATCTAGAAATGTTTTTCATATTAAACATAATGATGCGTGTAACTGAGAGTCTTAATTGTTCTGTCTGCTGTTCCAAAGGTTCAGAACCTATCTTCAGTGACATTTTACATAGCTTTTCTGAATTTCCTGCCTGTTCTGTGGTGAATCCTACTTCAGAATTGTTTTCTTTTTTTGTAACCAAAATGTCTTTTGTGCGTGAAAGAAAAAGTTGCCTCTGGAAAAAGTCAAGGGCTTTACTTCATTAAAATAACGATAGAAGATTGCAGCATAAGCCTTGTAAAATGAGTATCTCCAAGATGCTTTAGAAACCATTAGTTGTTTAATAGGGATTTCATGGCTGCTTTAGTTCTTCTCAGTTTCATGTCCTAGGCTCATAAAAAGGAGAGCACTGGTAATATCCCTTCTTTGGTATTTATAAAGCATAGGACACCTTAACATGAAACCTAACAATAATTCCACAGGTACAAAAGCTGCAGTCTGGAACAGAAATTGGACCCAGGCTTGGCAGCATGGAAAATGTTAGTTCCTGCCTTTTGAGCAAAAAGACTGCTTCTTCTTGTTAATGTTAAATAGCAGCCTGTGACCCATTTGCTGAAGCCAGCCATAGAAGATGACCACATGTATAATATAAGTGCATTAGTTGCACATGGAAGTAAATAACTGTAATAGATTGTTACGCTCATTCTTATTAATCATACTATTATAATTACATTATTAATAACACTCAAAGCATTATTAATCGAATATCCATTGATGGGCGTGAGTCCATCATGCTAACATGATCCTAGTTTTTTCAGTCTTTTTCTTTTCCTTTTAAGTTCCAGGTAACCAAAGTGGATACAAATGGCAAAAATATCAGCTACTGAGAGGATATTTACAGCTGAACAGCCGTGAGACGGGGCAAGTCTGGTGTCTAAACTAGGTTGATGGTGTCCCTTTAAATCAGAACAGAATTAGTGCTTTGTGGAATAATCCCAAACAGTTTCTGCTGAGTGAGTCCCAGCAAAGCTTTAGCACATCCCTTAAGATTATGGGGTATGCTTTCAGTGTGATCCCAGAGGAATTAGGCAGGCAACTTCAGCTATGGCTTAATGTGACTTGTGCTGCCAGCCTTGCTGGAAAACATATCCTTCTATAATGAAAAAAATGCATTTCACACCCCTGTCACCTCTCCTTCCCCATTTCTCTCCTCTTCCCACACACCCCCAAAGGCAGTCTTTGGAAAGAATATTTATTATGTTATCTTTCTTTTAAGCCTTTATCAAATCCTGTTTTGTACCCTGCACTGTTACCTCTGCTTAAGATACTGCAGTGATGGAAGCTAGAGAAACAGATGATATAGAAGGAATGCCGTTATTACGATCCCAGGTTAGTCTAAGAATTATTGGTATTAAAAAACCTTCTCATAAAAAAAAAGTCAAAAGTAAATTATTAAGAAACTTAAATTTTTATCTCTATAGTTCTAATGTCCTTGCCAAATTTTAAATGGGTCACTAAATTCTGCCAACTCTGCTTGGAGTTTTGGAAAGAAGAGGGCGGTCATCAGGAGAGGTGTCCTGCTGTAGGATATTGTTGGCTGCTCCAGAATTGTTAGCCTTGCACTTACAGGTTTTTGTCTTTCTCGTTTCTAAGGCATTTTTTAATAGATCTGGAGAGGAGGCTGTTAGCGTAAATGGTGGTATGTATTTTTACAAAGCACAATCTGATTAATGTTTTCCCCTCTACACTGTGGATTGCCCATAGCAGGATCAGTGAGTCAGCTGTTACGGAACTTGATCCATTTGAAAACTCATTAGTCTTGAATACTTAGTTTTGCAGCCCTCTGCTTGGCTGAAAGGTCTTCTCGTGCTGAGGCTCCCATGGTTTATTTGCTTGGGGTACTCCAAAGGAGGGAGCAGCAACAGCTTCCAGAGTTGGACCTCTATCCCTTTTTCATCCAGTCTCCTGTAACATACTTTTAAAAATCTTTTCCCCTCATCTTCCATCTCATTTCCAGACTAGTGTACTAACTCAGTGTCTTACTTCCATCCTCTCAGTCCTAAACCTAACCTCTTCCATAGTGCTCCTGTTTCCCATCTTTGCTCATTGCTTCTCCTTGTTCTGGCTCTGCTCTTACCTCTGGAGAAGATGTAAATCTGGGTGCTAGCAGGGGTCCCACAGCAGGTGTTGGGAGCCCAGCACGGTGGGGAAGGCTCTTGCCCTGCAGCTTACACCAGCTCCTGTGTGCGGTGAGTAATTGCCTGTGTTCAGGCGCTTAGGCTATGACTTGGGCAGAGTCTCACGGACAGCTACTTCTGACCCAGTCGGAGCAGGCCGTGCAGAGGCTGTGCCTCATATGAGTCCTGTCACCCACCACCGTATCCTGTCCTTGTGCTTTGTAATCCTCTATGTAAAGCCCCTGTTGCAAAGCCACGTCCTTTCGTTTTGTTCCCCTAGCAGAGGTTTGTGTAGGACAGACAGCTGGAGAGGTATCCGAAGACTGGGGTTTGGTTTTGTCTTTTTTTCCCCATTTTGAATTCCAAAAGGAGAAGTTAAGTGTGCCCAAGAACTTTGATTATAATGTGCTATTACTTCAGATCTCTGGCTGCTGTCCTGAGGCTGTTGGATACACATTCGAAAAAGGGTGAAATGGTGGAACAAAATGATTATGGGAAAATCAAAGCTTTTAAAGACATTTGTAGGATGAACAGATGTTCAAACATTCTTTTATTTGGTTTCCAGACAGACGTAGAGACTTTCCTTTCATCCTCGTAATCAGTGCATTATGCTGTAATTTGTAAAAATGGCATTAAAAAAATATTAACAGGGTCATATTGTGATCTACTGACTCTGTATCATTAAGCTGTGAAGTTAAGAATGGCAACTGGGAACAGGGGTTAAATGTTGCAGAATGTACTGTACTAGCGTATATTGTCAGACTGTATTATAATGAATCCAAAATGAAATAAAGATGTAAGGAGGTTTTTTAATACTGCTAAGGTTGGTGTTGCAAAACTAGAAACGTTTCAACTGTGCAGATGTTCAGTGAGTAATACATCTTTGGGTTGTGGGGAGAGTAGCAGTGAAAAAAGCTTTGTTTTTACAAGCCTGTTTTCTGCTTTTCCTTGGAATTTATTTTGGGACTGCAGTCTGGCTTGTGATCCTGCCAGAGGTCTTGAGCCGTGAGGGTCAAAGCATGCAATCGTGGTAGCGAGGATTCAGTAGGTGGCATCCTTTACTTGGAATCAAAACTAAATCTCCCCACCTAAAAATTGGGGTATGCACTGGCATTGGTAATGAAGATTTTGAATCAAGCCTGTAACCCATCTCTCAAAGAACAGTTTCTATTAAAATCCACAGTGCATTTAATGACTGGGGCAGAGCCATAAACTCCAATCTGTTGACCAAACCCTGAAGTACGAGTGTCCTTTCTGTGTTTCTGGCTCAGTTCAAAATAGCTTTTTTCCTCAAATCCTACCAATTGTGTTAATTGGTTGCAAGTACCTGACTATGGAAAAATGAGCCATCCGCACTGGTGGAGCTCTTGGTGTGTACAAGACATCTCTTTCTGGGCAGTAGGCGCTTTACTTGCTTGTTGGAACTCTGCAGTTGAACAGCCACAGGGTGGCAGAGCAAAAGTGAGAGCCCAGCACGATGAGGAGTTGTAATGATGCAGTCATGTCCTGGAGCAGCCATGACCCACCCCAGGGCTGTCTGCATCTCACTGCTGGGAGATCAGCTCTGTATTTACATCTGTAAAATGCTCTGGGATCTTGTGAAATGAAGGATGAAAGGCAGCAGAGGAATGCTACCTTACCTTACTAGCAGTTTCAAAAACTCTTTGTGTTTTCCTTTTAGTTTAATATCCACGGTGAGCTGTAAAGCTCTTTATTTACAAACATAGGAGTTTTAAATGAACTTACTGAGGATATAAATAGAATAATTTTAAGACAGAGGCTAGCACAGGGAGCTAACCTGCCAAGACTAGGAGGAGAAGAGCTGTATGACTGCAGTCTCTGGCAAAGCCAGTCTTGCTAGATGATGGACATCCAGAAGGAGTTCAAGGGTTTGGGGAGGTTGTGTTTAAGAAAGGTATTGGAGAAAGGGAAATAGTCTTCTGGGATTCCCCACAAATTCTCCTGCTGTTCTGTGCAAAAACAGGTTAAAAACATCATTAGATATAGTTATAGCTCCACCATAGACAATATGTAAGAGGAGAAGGAGTACGATGGGTCTGCTCACTTCTTGTTGCCAATGCCTGAATATGGAATCTTCTCCCACATCTGCTGCTGTGCATGCAGCACTGTTTTTAGTTCCAATTTGTTAGTGGACTTAGAGTTTAGGGTGGAATGGGTTTTCCATTCCTCAGTAAGTATTATAGTTCTTTGTTTTTATTTGTGTGTCTGATATGAGTGCTTTTCTAAGATGGCATAATCAGTCTGTAGGACTCCTGTCTTCTTCCCCTTCCTCAAGGTGACTGTTGCTTGTCAAAGGTGAATGCTCTAAGGGACCTCTTTGTCTCAGAGCCAGACGTTCCTGATATGCATTTGTATGCTTTTCCTAATAAATGACAGGAGAGGGAATACCATCTAATTCTTTTCTTTTTGGACCTCATGCTCAGGATCAGTGGTGAAAGGAACACATCAAACAGAATCAGAAAAACCCTGCAAGACCTTTCGTAAATCTCAGCTCTACATGCCCTACAAGGATCATTCTACAAAACATGACCGTCTTTTTGACTTGAGTCCTTGCCAGTCCTGCCTGTTCTAGTTCATGTTTCTTAACCAAAAGCTAATTTGAGGTCTGGATCAAGAGCTTCTAAATTAAACAACCCTGGTAGTGACTGAGGTGCCTGCTAGCACCATTGTGTTGGCATTTTGGCTAAACTGATCTGATTACTTATGATCCTTTAAGAAATCTAGGTTGTTCATTAGCTCTAGAAGGTTCTGTTTAGATCGATTCCTTCTCCTTTGATTGGAAGTCATGCAGTCTCTTTGTGTTTTTGTTGATCATTCTTACATTTCTCAAGGACCTCATTCATGTTAATCAGAGAGACTCTATCCTTCTTGGACCACAAAATTGCTTTTATTAGGCTATATATGGCCCCCATTCAGATGTGTAGGAGTCAGTTCTTTTATACTGTTTTCTGTGAAAATTGATATTTTAGTGCCTATAACTTCAGTCTGACAGTTAGGAATAATCCATGCCCTCATGGCGAATTCATTCCCAAAACAGCATTGCATAAGGACAAGCTGAAACTTAGACCCCACACAGTGGTTTTGGCTAAATTTCTTGGTTTTTTGCAAAAGTAAGCAATCCATCATCTAGTTTTTTTCTTAAGTTTCACTTTAACCAAAGCTGAGTTGAACTCTGCACCCTTTGTGAGAATACTGTTTTATTATCTGGAAAGATCAAGGGCTTTCAGAAGCTCTTCTAGACACTGTCAAGTTACTGAAAGATTATCTACATTGGTGCCCACCCGCATTAATGTATATGTGATTTCTTCTCTGCAGAATGTGGGTCATACTGTCTGTGACGACATTAGAAATGGAAACAGGGTATCTAATGATAATAGTTGGAAGAAAGAGAAGTTGCTTACTGTGCAGGAATCGGAAATAATCAAAATTATTCCCTTCAAAAAATTAGGCATCTGAGATGTTTTTGTTGCCTACACGTATTCTGTAACTTCCTATCCTTTTTTATTACTGCAGAACATATGAAGTACCCATTTTTATATTGTAGCATAGGAACAGTTTCTGTCTTGCCAACAATACCCTTTCTGGTGATTGATTTCTTGGTTGTCACCACACACCGAGCCAATGATTGT